ACCGTTGAGATAGATGAGAAGATTTACTTAGAATATATAGAATAAATATTGAGATAATGATTTACCTTTTACCTAGTATATATAAAATAAATATTGACATGATGTGGGAAAATTATGACGAATTATGACATAAATTCGTTTAGAAGTTAGTAGAAAATATTCAAAAATTAGATTTATTTTTTATTTTTTAAATCCTTACAGTAATTCGTACGCTCCTTTTCATACGCTTAATTTATCAATTTTACATATACAAATCAAAATTGATGCAACTCGAAATATTATATAACAAATAAAATGAGATTTTTTATCTAACATTTAGTATATTGCCGGAAAATCTTTTATAAATCTTATTCTCTTTTATGCACATAGATATTAAAGAATGAGTGAAAAAATTATCTAAATATGTTTAAAAGTATCTAATATTATATGTGTTAACAATGTTACAACCAAAAGACATTAAGAATACGTAGACTATTATATAACATATGTGAAAGTATTAAAATATTTTATATTATTATTGAAAAATGTGAAATTACCTCAATTTTGTCTAGACTATTTTATAAGAAAAATATATATACTTAAAGTTAGCATACACACACATATATATCCTTAAAATTTGCCCAACTAACATGTTTAAAAGTATATACAATTTTATATATAAAAACACGTTTAAAGTTTACATATTTTACAAAAATTAGACTGCTCTCAGTTTATATAAAGTTTGTTGCTCTCATATTCGGATAACGTATTATGCATATAATGAAAGCACCCTACGATACAAATTTATAAATATTAATTAAAATAATTTTCTAGATTATATAAAATTGAAATAACAAAGGTAAATATTACCTTTTCATCATGAAGATGTGTTACAGCTCTCCCGTGATAGGTTTCAATAATGCGGACTGCTCTCAGACGCAAAAAAAGGTTTGTTTCTTTTGTTAACGGAATCAAGTGTACCCCAGCCTGGAAACATTATATTGTATATGCGATGAAAAAGTATTTTTTGTATTTTTTTTTTCTCTGAACTCGTGAATGATGAGTTAAAATGGTGGTAGTGAATATCCTTTTATACAATTTTTTATTAACCAAAAGTGATAAGATAATTATGGATTGTATTTGGATAGATAGTAAGTCCCATGATTTTTGCAACGGACAATCAATTTCACATATTTTTTATTAACCAAAAGTGATAAGATAATTATGGATTGTATTTGGATAGATAGTAAGTCCCATGATTTTTGCAACGGACAATCAATTTCACATGCTTAATTAACGGAAATATCCCATTATTAAGGAAAATATCCATTTGCTTAATTAAAGTAGAATACATAAATAGAAAGTCAAAAGTCAACTCAATTATTTTTAGGTTTCTAAAAAGGGATTTTTACATCAACCTTTTTAGATATATATAGATTAATGATTCAAGAAACGATTGATTATGCCACGTAAACGCTGCATAATAAGCTATAATCCTACAATGTCAACCCTATAAAAGTAAGAGCTCTATATATCCACACAATCAAGTTATAGTTTTTCTTCAATCGACTAACAAAATTAAATACACAAAAGTACCAAAAAATTAAATTGATAGGTATGGATCACTGTATATAAACTGGCTCAGATCTCAAAGAATTGGTGGAAGAAAACAAAGCCAAACTTTTTAAGTAGTCGTGAGCCATTAGTCTTCGCAATAATGTTGTCCATTTTCGCAATTAGATGCAATGCTGGTGGATAATAAATTTATTGCTCAGCCGTCCACTAACTCTTCATAAATTCGAATTGACCCGGCCCATTTTCAATTTAATCGGGCTCAAAAGTCACTTTTAGTAAATTTAATTAGCATAGCGTAAATATTGGGCCCAAGAGTTACATGATTCATTAGCCCGACTATATATTAAGACATAATTAGTCTGTAAGGTTTGGGACAAGGCTTACTAATCAGAATCCGTGCGGGACAATAGTTTCATTGACAACACATATATAGGTATGTAATAATAGTTTCATTGTTTTGGATTGTTTTTTTTTAACAATATTGGTGGATATTTAATAATTATGTGCTCACCCCCACACAATGAAATTTGCTCTACCATATATCAATACATTGCATCAAATGATAATAAAACTTTCATTAATGAGTTTTTGACTTCTGACATTAGAGCAATTGCAAGTAGCTTTTTTTGGGGTACTCATTGATTTTTATCCAGAAAAACCAGACATGTAACTATATATGATATATACAAATTAAATACAATATCTACAATAAGTTTTGTCCAAAATTAAGACTCCATATATTTTTTTTTTTTTCTTTCTAAATTCAAGAATCAATCAAATTCTATTTGCTCCCAACCACATAATGATCAAAACATTGTTTTCATTTTTCAACCAACTCAAGAAAAAGACTATAATTCGAACCAGGAAAAAAAATATAAAAAAAGAAATATGAATTGGAAAAAAATGATCTAAAATTAAAGGACAACAACAAAAGACTATGATAAGAACACATAAAACACACACATTAGTGAGTGGAGGTTGCTATATTGATGCAAGAACGTGATGAAATGACCCACCTTGCATGTGAGCTATGCATAATACAAGCTGCAATATAGGGACACATAAAAAATAACTAAATAAAATATATAAATACAAAATAAAAAATCAAATTTCATGATATGATGAAAGTGACACATTTTAGTATCATGTCTGATTTTTCCATCAATCGTTGCTATCATCATTTTTCCGTTGCCAATATTATCTATTTTATATATTATTATTATTATTATTATTTTTATTGAGTAATATAATTTATGGTTTATTATCTTTGGACGGTGTGTGAGATTTGGACAGGGAATGATGCAGACATTATATTAATTATCTTCTTATATAATGTCACTTGTGAGTTGTTATACATCGTTTATATAGGAAAAATAAGTCTAATTTATAAGTTTAATGGGCTACTCCTCTGATTTTGGGACGAAACCTCACTTGAGTTTCATCTGGGCTTTCTCTTTTATGGTGCGCTTCACGTGCGTGGGACTGCACTTTTTTCCCCTCATTTCTTACATTTTCAAACAAATAGAAATAATAATAATAATAATAATAATAATATTGCCAGAAAATGAAATATTTATCTCACATGATAAATTTCTGCAGGTAAGGCTTCAAACTCCAATCATTTATCCTGATATGGCTACATAACGTGTGTTCATTAATTGAATTGTCAATATTTACTATATACATGGTGTTTTTGCATTTAAAAAAACCAAACAACGTAGGTGGTTTGAATTAAATTTTATTTCATTTGTTTTGTTACATTTTAGAGCTTGAATACACCCAATTTTAGACACCCATTTAATTTTTAAAGTTAATTATATAATTTTTATAAGTTGACTTAAGGCTCGAGTTCAACATTATCCCTCGACTTCAACTTGTATTAATTGATAAACAAGTTAAAAATTGAGCTCGTTTATCGGCTCATTGAGTTAATGTCGGCTAGATAGAGACTCGAGCCTAAATTCGAGTACCGAGAGCTTGCGCTGAAGCTCATTTACATCTCTAATCATAATCAATTAAGGAAGCACCAATCAAGCAATGAGAACCCAAAGAATAAAAAGAATATGAGTGAAATTGACTTAACCGCACAGAAAAGATTGATCAGTATGTGTGTTTATATATCTATTTTTCTTTTTTTTTTTTTTTTTTTTTTAATAGATATTTGCTTTTGTGTCAGAAACCAGGATGAGAATATATCTTCATTTGCGTCACATATCATCCATCCAAGCAAGGTCTTGTTCTATCCCATATAGATAGACACATCAATCATGTATTGATTTGTGATATATGCTTATTATCTAGGGCTAATATAGCTGTATCTAGTTTTCACTAGCAATATTAATTAGTTACTTATGCATGCAAATAACCAAAATATAAAGTTGTATACTAATACACTACACGCTACTTCTACTTTAAATTCTTGATTTTTTTCCCCCAAGAGGAAATACTCAATTTATATGATTCTGCTCTTACACATATATAACGTGTTCTATCATGGGATACCAATGTGAATTGGAAATAAATAAAGTATTAAATCACGGCATTGCCATTGCCAATATTTGATTGCCAATTTTTTTTTTTTTTTTTCAAAAAACGTTTTGTTTTAAGAAATTGGAAAATAAAAGGTTTGTTGAACAAAAAGTTGAGATGGCCGAGTTGGTCTAAGGCGCCAGATTAAGGTTCTGGTCCGAAAGGGCGTGGGTTCGAATCCCACTCTCAACAGATATTATTTTAACCTATTTTTATGTTGTCTCTTTCTCTGTTTGTTGCCACGTTCAAACTAAGGCGTGCTAAAGAGTTCAGACGGTCTTTTTGAGTTTGAAGAATGTGTGTAGTCACTTTGAAAAATCTTTTGACTCTAAAATTATGTTGTCGAGGTTTCCAAAATGTGCATTTGAGAGTTTATAGACTCCTATTTCCCCTTTATTATTTTCCTTTAAATGAAAGACTGATTAACTTCAGGATCCAATTCATAGGTGCATTATTAAGTATTCATTTCGAGTTCTAAAATTATAAAAATTGAATATGTCTAATTGTGGGCTTTTGGATTATGATTTCCCTTATCTAAGCTGCACATGAAGGCACATGAAGAAGTTCAGTCACACACTAACAGAATTGGACTATATCATGACCCTCTCTTTTCATTTCCTTTTTCTGTTTTGGCACAAACACCCCTATAATCCTTTCTCTAATCTTCAATCACATCATTCAGTGGTTAGATCAAACAACGTTTATCAAGATAGCGGTTTATCCAAATCTTGTCCTAAAGGATAATTATGCTAAAGATAACATAACCACATGCATAAGATGATCGTGTAATGATGGTTTATTTGAATACATAATCAAAAACATTTAAAAACCATCAAATTCTTGGATTATAGCTTATAAAAATATGTATTCGAGACATAGAAGAGAGAAAAACAACATTATGTAAATACCTCATCGAATATTTTCTACAAACTAATGATTGGCCAAAAGAGAAAAAAAATATATATATTCAGAATTATGAGAGATGTAGCAGAGGGACACAAATTCAGAAGAATATAAATTTATGGAAAATCTTTGCAACTCTCCCACTTACCTACGATCATAATCTTCTTCTTCCGTTTTTTTTGAAAAAGATTGCCTAATAAACTACTAAAGATGATCAAAAAAAGAGAAAAAATAAATAAAGAAAAGAGCTGATCATACTAGTTCTGTAGTTTGATCAGAAGTAACTTGACCAAAAATGTCGGGGCACGAATCCCAATTGCCTTCTTCCCTAGCTTCCCAATATCCACCTATGTAACGATATGCATCTGAACCTTCGTCTTTCGCAAACCATCTCGGCTTCCATCCTCTCTCTTGCATCGATCTCGCCTAACCTCAGTCGAACCAGAGTTAGCAAATCATAAAAAGTGTCCAGCACAAAACAAATTTCAAAGAACATATTTTACATTTTTCCCCTATTTTAATTTGAATGTTTTGAAACACTCCTGTAAAGGGGATGTTTGAACAATGACTAAGTATATAACACTTTACAGAATTAAATGAGATAAAAAAACTATGAGTTACCTGCCGCTGCCTCTGTTCAAGGCGCAATTTTTCGGCATTTGCTTTCTCGTACTCCCCGTTTTCCAAGCATCTTTGATCAGGCCTAAGCCTTGAATCCGTTGGGGGAAGCTTCTCCTGCACAACGTATATAGTAGGCCCATTTCATTTCATATGATCTGATGACTCGTACAATAGACGAACATAATAAATATTCATTGAATTTAGTATTCCTCCAATTTCCAGCTGATAACAAGCAGTTATCCTACAAAGTTTCAAGTCTTTCTAAGAAAAAGTAAGAAACAGTTATCTTTTATAGTAACCGGGTTACTTGAGGGTAGATTATAAATTGTAATCATTTTTGTAATAAACGCTGATGCAGCAGTTGAACCACATTCATATATTATTAACTTAGCAGAGGGATTTCTCAGTAACATGAAGTTAAAAAATATACGGGCGCATTGGATAAATCAAAATCCAGCCTTAAGTGGCAGAGTTCACGTAACAGAATAATAATAATAATATATTGGATCTTTCACCTTTAGTCCAGGAGTGAACTCATTCATCGTGATGGCAAACCGTGTTAAGTTGTAACGTGTTGGGAACTTCGGAGGCTTGCTACGTTTCCAGAGCAAATGAGCTTCAGACATCGACTGTTGAGCTTTCCCTTTGGAGGAGAAATCTCCATTTACGTAATGCATGCTCTCATCCCATTTTCCAAACAAAGTTGCCACCGTTTTTCCACTCTTTTCCTGGACAACTCCTTGCACCTGCAATTTCATCAGTGTAACGATAAGAAAGTAAATACACAAAAGGCATAACTCGCTCCCAGAAAATTCATCACTCAAAGAAAAAAAAAAGATGTAAATTGTTTCAAATTGTTTGAAAGTAATTTATTCAGTAAATTTGTTCAGGGCCAGAAATAGTGGAAGTGGCAGTTTTATTTTGAGTAGTTTTTGTATATTGTCCAGAGAAGGACATCAGGCAAAAGGTTGCTTTTGTATAATGTGCTAGTTTAAACTGAGATCATTCATTAAGCCAAATTAATTAACTAATTGCTCTCTTTTTTCGGTTACAAATAGATGCGTAGCAACCAATTTATATAGTTGCATTCTTGGTGGACACACTAATATTTAACATCACAGCTAATATATGGTGAAATTATACTTGGGAGATTCTTGCATGGCTCAGCTCGTGGAACATGCGAAGTGAATAACTTCGATTATAACAAGTCATAAGTGAACTTCAAATAAAACTAAGCTGATACTAGGAACTAGATATAGATAACTTCAGTTCCATGAACTGTAAAAATCAGCCTTATATACGTACAAATAGATAATACAGGACAAGAAAATTACCTGATGAGGATTTCGGTCAATGATAGACTGCTCTTTGAATTTCAGTTTGCATGAGTAGTCACGGTTTCCTTGTATTCGCATTGTACCATAATGGTCGCAATAAAGTTTCCCCAAAATTAAGTTGTAAATAGATGTTGTTACCTGCCACAATTAGGTATAAGTATCTCCACGAAATCAAACAGAAAAAAAAAAAAAAAAAAAAAAAAAAAAAAAAAAAAAAAAAAAAATCCCATCATTTGCAGTAGTACCTTATTCCACTGGAAGATTTCTCCATCATCAAATTCAATTGTTAAGAGACCAACTGGGTCAAGCTGAATTGATCGTCCCCAAAATTTGCTTTTGAGATTGCTGTCACCATAAAACCTCCAGCCTCTACCCTCACAATGGCATGCTACAATCATGGGGTGATGACTCACCTGATACAAAGAAAAACAGCATTGGCCACTTCTTATTCACTGAAAATAATATACTCCTTCCTTCCCAATTTTACAGTCCCATAAATTCACATTGGCGTGTCTAAAAATTTATAGTCCACTTTGTTAGTTAGAGGTGTGTAAGATTTTCTCTCTATCTACCCAATGGGCCAATGTAACAAGTTTCAAGATAATGTTAACTGTGGAGCTAATGTATATATGATGTAATAGGAACATGGAACATTTTTTGAATTTTATGAAGCTAGTTGACACGTGTTCTTAATTGTGAGAAACTGAGAAATGGAACTGTTAAAATGGGATGGAGTACGAAAGAAGGCTGTAAATACATTATTTCACAGCAGTTCACCTATAAGACAAAAAAATGATCCATTTGGCATAAATTTGGTACTGAAATGGAAATAATGAATAAACAAAAAGAAAAAAAATCGAATAGTGCTTTTCGTTTTCAATATTCCTGCTACTTTTTTCCCATTCCATATAATCCATGGTATAATTGTTTCTCTAGTCAGAAAATAGCAGAGTTTTGAAGATTGTAAGTAGTCAAAGATCTTTTTATATAGTACTTGCGAAGGGCACTGCTACAGTAGCCAAAATTGTGAGACGTGATTAAAAAAAAAAAATGCAAGAAATTTGCTCAAGGCAATAAACTGACACCTTCTCTGAGAAAAATCGGAGACCCTTATCTGGGTAATCAGCTTCATAAGTTTCCCCTAACAATGGATTGAAAGGTTTACACATTCTTCCATCTGTTGAAGCATATCCAGATACTGCGAATGCAGCTACATTAAGCATCCGCATAAGGCTGTTACCCTGGAAAGAATTAATTACATCACAAATCATTTTTGCTAAATGGTCATAAATTAAAAGCATCATGTAGAAAAGCCGGATATCTTTGCAGGTTATAAACCTTAAAAAGAGAAGCAAGTCCAAGGGAATCCATATGAAAATAAGAAAAGAAAATCTTCAATCATATGCCCTGAACACCTAATGTAGAAAAGCTGGATATCTTTGCAGGTTATAAACCTTAAAAAGGAAAAGCAAGTCCAAGGGAATCCATATGAAAATAAGAGAAGAAAATCTTCAATCATATGCCCTGAACACCTAATGATTGGAGCGAAAACAGAAGCCAGAACAAGTTCAGTTAAGAAAAACAAAATAAGTACTCGACAGGCGGAGTCAAAACTTGATGGTTGATAGAAAGAATGAATTGCTGATTTCTCTGTGCTTTCTAATAAATCTTCCTCTTTAAAATCATGCGATTTTCAGCTATTTTTTTTTTTCCTGTTTGTTGGAGACCACTTTTTCTTTTTTCTTTTTGCGGGAAGCCGGATCAATTAGCAGGCTGCTGATGTCCCCAGATGCACATTGTGAAAATGTAACTATACATATATTTTTTTATGACTTGTAGGTGAAACAAAGTGAACACGGAGTTTCCAGAGTTAATTGACCATCGTTGCTTTGAAGAAAAAAAATAAAAACATCGAGAAATTCAGCATTGTCAACGAGCGTACCTTCTTTCCCCATTCATAGGCCCGATCAATCAGATATGAATATTCCACATCTTCAAAACATTTCTGCAGAGAAGAGAGAGGCTCATTGAAGTAAACCGGGAGACATACTTTTGTAAGATCCTTCCCGATGTTGTCTTTAATCATCGACCATAAACTCACTCCTTTCTCTTTCTCAACAGGATCTGGCAATTTTTTGCGACGTTTAATGCGAGGAAAGTTCATTCCAACAGATCTGATAGAAGGATCAATATCTTCCTCGTCTTCATAATTATAATGGTCATTATCATCAGATGATAATGGTGATAACGTCCTAAAATCGGACCCGCTACTTCTTAAGGAACTAGAAGAAAGAAAATCTCTGGTCTCAAAAAAAACATTGTCTTCTTCATCTGTATCTTCCTCTGCCACATCTACTCTTTCAATTTCATCTTCAGACTCGGTAGTGCTCCCTGGTAGAGGTATACAGAATGGTAAATACATTTAAACAACTAATATGCATCTGTACGAGCTGACAACTATAACGTGAGAACTTACCTCATGCCCAACAAAATATGAGAAGTCAAAACAAAAACTTATTTATTTTTTCCCTTTTTTGCTTTTTTTTGGGGGTGGGGGTTGAGGGGATATATCAATGTGAAGCATTTATGGCAATAATATATGATAAACATAAGTAGAACAAGCTGAGAAGTATACCACTAGACTTATCTTGCCTTGTGTTAGTAGATGCTCCGACATCTTTAGTGTGCCGCTGGCTCTCGTCAACGACTGTATTCTCCAAGTCAACTTTTTCGGTCTATACAAAATACCAAACTCTTTTTAGCTGAAACAAATAAATAGCTTAAAGTAGTTTGAGGAACATTGTAAGGAAAACCCAGCCCTATTATCATGAGGTCAATACACACGTCTAATATTTTAAAGTAACACGCCAGATCATCCTATCAAACAATTTTCGAATAGATAAATTTGAATAATTGATCATAGTATTTAAGGAATTTATGCTGCCACAATGCTATACATATTGAAGAAGAAAAATGAAATGATATTCACTAAAACATAATATATTAAAAATAGGGATAAATCAACAACTGCAACAGAAAGAGCTAGGTGTTCCCATGCTCTACCAATACGTGTGGATGTTCAAAGTGATATCCTAGGTTGCAGATACATTTAGGAATTTGAATTTGGTGACAGGATTTGAAGAAATAATATCAAATCTCATTATCTAACATGTGGAATTGAGATCCACAAAACGAATTGGAAAAGAGGCAACAAGAACTGAAACCCATTGCATAAAGAGGCTATCCAACAACCTCAATGGATTTGTTACAACTAGTAAGATATTTGGTGAATCCTTAACTTCAAATCCATATCAACATGGATGGTGGTAGATGCCTTGCTCATGGGGCAAAGCTATTAAATATTAACCAAACCTAAGATCTAACTCACATCTCACTCTATATGCAAATATGTATTAATCAAAGTTAATAAAGCAGGAAAAATGTATCCTCATATATTATTATGAATAAACTTCAGGGTAAAATAAAAACCCACAGAACTAAAAAACTTACAGTGGAAGGGCTCAAAACAGACAAACAGAAATCCAAATCCCACCACCCAGCCACACCAACTAAAGTGATAATGACTGGATGCAAATTTATTACAGCCTCGTTAATGATTCTAACACCAGTTTAAGGCACATATATCACAGCATTATAGAATGATGCAGTTGGTTTATTGAATTATTCAGGTGTAATTCAGTTCACAAAAACTACGCAACACAATAGTTGNTTTTCCAGAAAGCACAGGATATATACAAACACTTCAATACCAAGCAACCTGGCTGCAGAAATATAAGGATACACACATATTTCTTAGTGGAAATTGAAGAAGGCCTCTAAATTCAATTATCAAGGGATTTTCTACTAATCTTAACACGTACCTCTAGCTGACGAAGAGTGTCCATGAGGAGCCAATGCTTCTGCTTCAAGATCATCAGCTGATTCTGCAAGGAAGCAAATTCGTTCCTCATGATCTGCTCACTCTGTTGAATGGAAGCCTCGCTCAGCCCTTCTTCCAACAGTCTCTGTCTCAGCTTCTCAGTCGAGACCGCCAGGTTATCCACGGGTGCCATGAGCTCACTGTTGGACATCCTTGGGAACATGTCCTTCACAGTCTGCAAAGCTTCCATCCAAGTTGTCCTGTCCTCCCGGCTCTCGGCCCTCAGATGGAGCTTCTTTGTCCCAGTAAAAATGGAGAATTTCTTATCATCCGATTGGCTCTCTCGAATAGATGAGACCTGCAGAGGTTTACTATTCAGTTTAAAAAGACCACACAGTTGCATTTAAATAAAACAACGAACAAACAAACAAACATTGCAAGAATCATGCAAATAGAAGCAAGAAGAAAAGGGTAGACAAAAGCCCAAAGAAACCTGTATCACAAAGTTTGGTATAGTTATTCATAACATTCTTCGCCACCAAATCAAAGTCAGTCCATCATTACATGATTGAATACCAGAAAAAAACAACAACAGATCTCCTGATAAATATAAAGAAAATTCAGTCAATCAAATTGGATAATAAAGATCCCCAACAGCATTTTCATCAAAATTTCAAAATCACTGGGAAACACCGCAGCCAACTGATTCAGAAACAAATACTCCACCGGGTACAAAAAGCATATTCAGGAGCACTACAATTGAGAACAGACGAGACCTTTAGATGGACTTCGCCGACCGGCTTCCAGCTTTTCGGAGACGAGCTACTGCTCCCACTCCTATGATGATTCTGATTCTGATTCTGATAATGATGATGATTGCTGTGCGGCCGCTTAATCCGCCTCATCGACTCATCCCCAATCACCCTCGACCCTCTCTCCGTCTCCTGGTCCAGCACAATCCTGTCAGGTCCGTGGATCTTGTAGTAGCTCAGCACCCCATCCTGCAGCACGAACCACCTCGGCCTCCATCCTTTCCCGTAGTTCACCCACTTGTACAAAATCCCCGAGATCCCATCCCCAACTATCTCGTTGATCTTCAGCTCTCGGTTGCCCTGGCCGTGGCCGCCGCCGCCGTTGGTCGCGAAGCCGTTATCTCCACCGTAATCGCGGGCGGACGAAGCTCTGGAGATCACCGCCGAGTTCTGCGCGTTGGTCGCCGGATCTGACGGCGGCGACTGCGCCGGGGGCGGCATGTCGGAGCTGTCGATCGTCACCGTTGACCCGCAGCAGAATGGATGCATCTCGAGATCAGCATAACTTGGAGCACCGCTGCCAAATCCCTCCGCACCTCATATCGGAAAATTACACCGGAAAAAAATTGGGAAACAAAAAAAAAAATGTGAGAAAAAATGGGAAAAAATTGTGCGCCGAGCGAGCTTGAGCTAAATATGGGTAGTGTATATATAGAAATGTATAGATACAGATATAGAGAGGATAAGGGGTTGACGGAAATATGTGTAGGGAGAATTTTCCGGCGAGACGGTGATTCAGGTTTTTATTGACGTACTAAAGGAGTTGAGAGGATTTATGGTGCTCAGGTGTTTCGGTAACTGGGTTTTTAATTTATTTTATTTTATTATTTTTGCAAACAATTTAAATAACATTTTAGTTTCTAAATTATTTGAAATAATTGGCATTTTTTATTGTTGGTCACCTTAAACATATGCATAATGTTATTATTTATTTAGGTTTTAATTTGCTGAGATAAATGCTTGAGTAAATATATTAATAAGTATAAGATTATATTGATTTAAGTTATGGTCCCAAAAAGGAAGAAAAAAATAATGTTAGGAAAATCATGTTAAGGCAAATAAATTATGTAATATGTAATATATTTTTATTTATTTCGTGATTCATGTAATTTATATTATATATTTTTTACAATATTTTCATACTTTAATATTAGTACATATGTCAGACTTAGATTTGTTATTTGAGGCATGTCCAGACGAATATATCATATTTGTATTTCTCTTTATTTAATAAACAAGTCGACTCATCTCATCATATTTGAGAAATTAAAAGTAAGAGTTTGTGTTCAACTCATGTACTCAACTCAAATCGTTTAATAGAAAAATAAAAATAAAAATTAAAATCTAATTCCAACCGAGTTGTGTTCAACTCATGTACTCAATTATTATATATTCTTTTGTTAATATTGGAATTAATTACCAAGCTACATCACAAGAATCTTTAGTTTAAGAGAAGAAGTTCAAACTAAAATGCCTTCATCGACCAGAAATGAAAAATCCAGCCAACCTGTAAGGCGGCTAAGAATAATTGCTGTCTGTTGTTATAAACCTACCGATCATATTAGGCAATGGCGTGTGGAATAAACAAGAAAATAGGATTTAGGAATTAATTATATACCATAGATTAATGCTAATATATGCCTAAAATATTATTAGAGAGTGCTAACAAACTCGTTAATTGTCACTTAGCTACTACTATAAAGTCTATTTTTTTCCTTACAACCTTTTATTTTATTTTAATTTGTATTTTTGTAGAATAGTGAATTTCAACTACTAATTTGTTTCTACTAGTTACCATAAGTAACAATACGATAATTTTCAATACAAGTTTCTATTTTGTTTTTTTGTTCAAAATTATAACGAGTTGAGTCCACATGTTATCGGTTATCAACAATTAGTTGTAATGCGATTATTTTTCTTTTTTTTTTTATCAGAAATTCTTACCTATCTATCATGGACACGTTGAGATGCCTTCATTTGNAAAAGAAATAGTAAAGAAGCATATTTGCATTGTATGGGCTTTCTTTCTCAACTTGGGCATAAAAAAAAGGTTACGTCGTGTTACGACTTCCGATTACCCAATGCTACTTTTGATGGTACTATATTATTATTATTATAAATATTATTATTATTATTATTAGTGTTAATATTATTTCACTAATAAAATCATTATTATTTTTATTTTTGGTCACCTTCTGTTTGGTACATTGCATTACAGTAAGATGCACCCGTCATAAGTGGACTAAGAATCACCATTTGCAATAAATCATTATTATTTTTATTTTTAATTAAAACGTCATTCAAGCCTAAGAATAGTGTATAGTTTATATCTATTCAAGTGTTTTAGTTCTTTTCATTTTATTTAGTCATGTGACTCATCTAAACAACTTGATCTGAACCAAACTCGAACCCATAATATTCAAGTTGGGTTTTGAACTTTTATCGAGTTTAACTTTAGGTAAACTACTAAATGACCTCCACTTCAGTTTGTTTATCAATATCAACGAACTAAATTTAAATTTTAATGAGTTGATTTAAAGAAAAAAAAAAGATGAGTCTATCGAGCTGAGCTTGACTCAACTCGCATTTAAATAAGTGCTCGAACTTGCTTATGATTGCCTTAATTATTTCATTTTAGCGGATGATTTATGTTCTGGCCAATAAAATGTTGCTTTAAGTGCATTCAATTTATGTAACAAGTTATGACTATATTTGCAATTAAAATCGTTCTATAATTAATAATTAGTCAAGAAAAATGTTCTGGAATGAAAGAAATGGAAATATTCTCCCGTATCATACCGAACCTATTAGTCTAGAGTTAGGATAATAAACTTGACAATTATGTGATTCTAATTTTTTTTTTTCTTGACTTAGGAAAAAAAATGAAATTCACGAGTAAATGGTCCACGAAAATGTGGCAGCCATGTGAAAGATTTAAAAAGAGTTTGACCAATTGTTCATGCGCACAAGACTTAAAAGAGTTTTGGTATCTTTGTTGGAATCAAATAATTAATAATAATAATAAATAAAAAACAAAGATGTAGACAACTCACACACAATAAAACCAAGATTATCTCTTTCTCTCATCTTTTTTGGGTCCTATGCATAGGAATTTTTTTGACCATAATAGTGGGAATTGAAATTTGAAAGTGTCACTCCTTATTCCATGGTAAACAATTTTATTATTTATTGTATTATTTACTTTGATTTTTAGGGTAACAATTTCGTTATTTATTGCTTTATTTACTTTGGGGTTTAGGGTATTATCTCAAAGTTCGGTTTTTACTGTGGAAGTTGAAATTGACAAAAGCGATAAGATGGCACGAAATTTAGGATAATTTTTGAAGTCATTGGTCTTCTAAATGGGAAAAGATCGCGGTTGCTAGAAGGTTTGATGAGATTATTAACTTGAAAATAGAGCACATTTTAACGACAATATTCTTGTAGTAATCTTAATTTCTAGTATTTGTTTTCGGGGTCAATTCATTGTTCAAAAAGTTTTGTCAACAATTATTAGACATGATACTTAGACTAGGTTATTATTTGTTTTGAAATGGAGAGAAAACTAAGGAGTATAAGAGAGCTTGAGTTAAAGTTCGATTTGAGTTTTAAGCTAGAATCTGTATTCTGTAAGTTGATGTTTATTTTGAGTTTAAGATCATGCTCATATTTCGAAAGTTGAAGTTCTTAATGAACCACTAGAGAACATTGTTTGTTTTACAACGCGCACTGTAATGTAAATTATCTCGAAATCGTGACATATCATTTGAAATTTTGTGTTTTGACCAAAAGGCCTATGTTGAATTCTATTATGACTCTTTATTTCGTTCTACGTTATACAATATTATTTTTATGCCAAATTAACTTTCGCGATACGTAAGGTTATTCACACAATGCAATATAAGAACCAAAATTTGATACCTTACTGTATACATACATCTTGAAACATTGCGCTCATGAATAAGTATAATTTATATGTGAAGCAAACCTGAGTGAAACTCGAACCAATCAAATTCACTAAAAATTCATACTTCTTTAGACGTTTTTATTGAAAATTTGTGCTAAACGCAAGTGAATTCAAGTCAATCCTGAATAATTTTATATTTGTGTTGAGTTGCCTCAAACCAAGCCTTAAAAAGCTTGGCTCATTGAACTCGAGCTCCAACAACTATGTAAAAACTGAGAATAGCTCAGTAAAATCATTTTTCTGTTCGACTCTACTTGTTTACAACCTGAAATGAAGATATGTTTTATCATTTTTTTTTATCCAAATATTTCTTCCACAAAAACCTATACCCAAATTAAAAAAAATGTATGACCGATAGGTCATGAGTTCGAATCATAAAGGAAAGAAAATGGAACACCATAAATCCTCCTTTTTAAAAGAAAAAAAAAAAAC